CACAGATAAAACCAGAGCAAAAAGGTCCAAAAGGAAGGACTGAATGAAGACACAGCCTCATTAGCACAAAGAAATACTCAACTCATTACATATCGATTACCAACTAATACCTATCTTTAGAGAGACAGTAAAATATAAATTAATATATGTTAGTAAAATCGAACCAAATATGTTTCTAATCTTTTTTTATTATTATACTTTAAGTTCTAGGGTACATGTGCACAATGTGCAGGTTTGTTACATATGTATACATGTGTCATGTTGGTGTACAGCACCCATTAACTCATCATTTACATTAGGTATATCTCCTAATGCTATCCCTCTCCCCTCCCCCCACCCCACAACAGGCCCCCCTGTGTGACGTTCCCTTTCCTGTGTCCAAGTGTTCTCATTGTTCAATTCCCACCTATGAGTGAGAACATGTGGTGTTTGGTTTTCTGTTGTTGCGATAGTTTGTTGAGAATGATGGTTTCCAGCTGCATGCATGTCCCTACAAAGGACACGAACTCATCCTTTTTTATGGCTGCATAGTATTCCATGGTGTATATGTGCCACATTTTCTTAATCCAATCTGTCACTGATGGACATTTGGGTTGGTTCCAAGTCTTTGCTATTGTGAATAGTGCCACAATAAACATACGTGTACATGTGTCTTTATAGCAGCATGATTTATAATCCTTTGGGTATATACCCAGTAATAGGATGGCTGGATCAAATGGTATTTCTAGTTCTAGATCCTTGAGGAATCACCACACTGTCTTCCACAATGGTTGAACTAGTTTACAGTCCCACCAACAGTGTAAAAGTGTTCCTATTTCTCCACATCCTCTCCAGCACCGGTTGTTTCCTGACCTTTTAATGATTGCCATTCTAACTGGTGTGAGATGGTATCTCATTGTGGTTTTGATTTACATTTCTCTGATGGCCAGTGATGATAAGCATTTTTTCATGTGTCTGTTGGCTGTATGAATGTCTTCCTTTAAGAAGTGTCTGTTCATATCCTTCGCCCACTTTTTAATGGGGTTGTTTTTTCTTGAACATCTGTTTAAGTTCTTTGTAGGTTCTGGATATTAGCCCTTTGTCAGATGAGTAGATTGCAAATATTTTCTCCCATTCCGTAGGTTGCCTGTTCACTCTGATGGTAGTTTCTTTTGCTGTACAGAAGCTCTTTAGTTTAATTAGATCCCATTTGTCAATTTTGGCTTTTGTTGCCATTGCTTTTGGCGTTTTAGACATGAAGTCTTTGCCCATGCCTATGTCCTGAATGGTATTACCTAGGTTTTCTTCTAGGGTTTTTATGGTTTTAGGTCTAACAGTTAAGTCTCTAATCCATCTTGAATTAATTTTTCTATAAGGTATAAGGAAGTGATCCGATTTCAGTTTTCTAAATATGGTCAGCCAGTTTTCCCAGCACCATTTATTAAATAGGGAATTGTTTCCCCATTTCTTGTTTTTGTCAGGTTTGTCAAAGATCAGATGGTTGCAGATGTGTGGTATTATTTCTGAGGGCTCTGTTCTGTTCCACTGGTCTATATCTCTGTTTTGGTACCAGTACCATGCTGTTTTGGTTACTGTAGCCTTGTAGTATAGTTTGAAGTCAGGTAGCGTGATGACTCCAGCTTTGTTCTTTTGACTTAGGATTGTCTTGGCAATGTGGGCTCTTTTTTGGTTCCATATGAAGTTTAAAGTAGTTTTTTTTCCAATTCTGTGAAGAAAGTCATTGGTAGCTTAATGGGGATGGGATTGAATCTATAAAAAATATGGAACACTTCACGAATTTGTGTGTCATCCTTGCGCAGGGGCCATGTTAATCTGCTCTGTATTGTTCCAATTTTAGTATATGTGCTGCCAAAGCAAGCACTTTTTTCTTTTTTTAAGACAAGAGTCTTGCTCTGTTGCCCAGGCTGGAGTGCAGTGGTGTGATCTTAGCTCACTGGAACCTCTACCTCCCAGGTTCAAGTCATTCTCCTGCCTCAGCCTCTGAGGATCTGGGATGACAGGCATACACCACCACACCAGGCTAATTTTTGTATTTTTAGTAGAGATGCAGTTTCACCATGTTGGCCAGGCTGGTCTCGAACTCCTGACCTCGAGTGATCCACCCACCTCAGCCTCCCAAGGTGCTGGGATTACAGGCGTGAGCCACCGCACCCAGCCTCTAATCATTTAAAATGCTCTAGGTTTGCTAATTCTTACTTTATCTAGTTCCTGGACCAGCAGTTGCTCCAAATCCAAGGCAGGAACTAAGTAACAACACCACTTGCATCCTGATGACAGTCTTAGCCCCATCCACCTTAGGTAAGAAACTAGAAAAACTGGATATATCGTGGGCTAAGATTAAAAGAACTGTTACAGAGGGCCTAGAAATATCTCATTCTACATTTGGCTACACTTTCCTACCCCTTCTTTTGCAGGATTACCTGACTTTAGCCTAATGCTAAACTATGATCTACTTCTAAGAGTATCTTTCTCTATACTGAAATTGCTGAATATTATGTATATATATGTAATATATAAATCAACAAAATTCACAGATTTTTTAAGATTCTAAATTTAAACAGATATAGGTACATTGTACAATGGAATAACCTTTCCTTTTCTTGTACTCAAATAAGAAAACTTCAGTTGCCCCAAATGTAGGTAGACACTAAAAATAGTTAATTTAATAATGATAGAGGAATATTCATAGAGGCTAACATTGCAAAGCAGGGTTTATACTACAAAGATTTTTTAAAAATATATAGTCTTTCAAATTAATATATCTGACTACCTTTCTCTAATGCTCCTGCTTCACCTGCAGCACATCAGACAAGGTAATAATTTATGATAATCATATGAAAATATACAATTAATATTCACCACCTCTCATTCCTCATCACTTTAGACAATCAGTAATGCAGAGTGAAAATGCTGTCAGATTTCTAATTGCTTTGTAATGGGCTTGAAACAGGGAAATCATTAAAGGCAAACAATCTGTCATTTGTCTGTTACTTTAACTATCTATCACACCAAAAACTCATTAAAGAAATTGCTAATGAGCTACAAAAGACTAGACTCATGGTGCTTCTACAGTAGATTAAAAAGTAATACTATGAATTGCTGAAAATATTTTAAAAATATGATATTTTGTGGAAATTCATCAGAAAATATCTATTCATCAGTATATTTTTTAAGATGTGTGGTTTCATTATTTTGGCATTTAATCCATCATTGCAGAAATCCCTTTAGCATATAAGACTTGTTTTTCTCAGTCGCTAAATAATTAAACTAAAAGGTTGCAAGAAGCTGAAATGCTAAATGTGTTTATTACTAGTAAACTGACATAAGTAATAAAAAACAGACTATATTAACCCTGATGTTAAGTGAAGAATGCATTTTAAAATTTAATTTTTACTCTCATATCTCTTGTGGATTTAAATTGTTGAAGTTGTAATGCTTAATCATCTTAAATAATGCTATCATCACACAAAAATTATATTCAGTGACTGAATTTGAGCACAATAATATTAAACTATGTGTAATAATATTAACTATTTTGAAATCTTTGAAAATATTAACCAACACTAAAATGTCTCATAATTTTACTTCATGTAATTTTAGGGGAGGAAACAAATCATTTCTTTAAGTGAGCATACAACATTTTATATGTCTTTATGAATTCTACTCTTCCATATGAGATACTTAGCATTTAAAAACCTATAATAATGACACTAATCTTATTTTAAAACAAGAGTCATTGCCTTACATTTCAGAAAAATATGCGAGTAACAAAGATAACAATGATACTAATTATGTTTTCCATTGCTTATGATGAATTAAGTCATGAATTTAATTTCCTATAACAAAAGATGAGGCTCATTAATAAAGTCAAACTTCTATATATATTGACCTATTCATATCTATTAGAATTCACACAAATTAAAAAACCTGAATGCAATAACATGTTTAGCCAGGTGCCATAGTTAATATACACTAGTGAATTCCACACTAACTTCAAAAGGTTCCATAACACCCTGGAAACATCTTCATTATACTCTCTAATTGACTTAAACAGACTTCAAATCAACTGTTTAACACATTTTAACCCACAAATTAACACCCCTTGATCGTTCAGATTAACCTTTCTTGCGTGACTCAATTACATTACAAAAATAAACTTTTCAAAAAAAATTCAGGATTAAAAAACTAAAATAGAGAAAGTAGCACACTTTTAAAAACAGTACAGACAGTCCCTGACTTAGGATGGTTTGACTAACAATTTTTTGACTTTACATGGTGTGTATTCTACTGAATACATATTCAGCAGAAACCGTACTTTGAATTTTGATCTCTTCCCAGGATAGTGATATGTAGTAAAATAATCTCTCATGATGCTGGGCAGTGGCAGGGAGCAGCAGCTGCCAGTGAACCATGCAATCTCTCAGGGTAAACAACCAATACTCTATGGTGTACTGTGTGCTAGATGATTTTGCCCAACTGTAGGCTAAAGTTAAATGTTCTGAGCACAATTAAAGTAGGCTAGGTTAAGCTATGATGTTCAGTAGGTTAGGTGTATTAAGGCACTAATAATATTTTCAACTTAAAATGGGCTTATCAGACATAACCCCATCACACATCAAAGAGCTTCTATACATAAATGCATATCCCCACACGACTGGAAGACATCACCACACATTTCAGGGTAGTTGGAAAGTGCCCAGAAAAACCAGAGTGGTGATAAGAAAAAAGAGAAAAGGGCAAAGAAGTGAATGGGGGAAAAAACAAGTTGGTATTTGTATGACTATTAAAGATAAACAGAAGATGGATTACAGACAATATTTTTAATAGGATCATGGAATGATTAAAAAACATCAGATGTGAAGATAGGAAAAGAGGAAGAAAAATCCCAGATAAGATAAAGACCTATAAGAGGTCTGAAAAAAGTTAGAAAGAACCGACACATAATGCTAAAAAACAAGAAAAACACAGCAACAAGTGTGGTGCCCACAAAAAATATTTACCTCTTCCTCTTTGCTTCTCTCTTGCTTAGTGTACTGCCTTGCACAAACTCAACGAAAGTTCATTGATGATGACTATTGTCAGAATGGCAAAGGAGAGAATAGACTGAGTTAAGACAACCAACAAAGGGAAAAATGAAAACCATTTCTAAAAGATGAGCTAGGATTGTTCATCAGAACTGATTCTCAATACTATCTAAAGCTTTATGCTAATCTACCAAAAAAAAAAAGAGAGGAAGTTTTGTCATTCTAGTCATTCACCTTTCCCTTCCTTCAAAGCACTATTTAAAACTTAACACTTCATACACCTTCCTGGATTAGCTTCATCTCGATTCAAGGATTTCAATCATTCAAGTAATCTATTAATTAAAGTTATTAATTAATATCACAGCACTTGGTATTTCATCTGGCCTAGTACTTCCTACAGTTATTTCAGTTCCGGTTTAAATGTCTGTTTACCAAGATAAACTAAGCTTTGAGAGGACTACAGTCAACTTTGTTTTGTGTCTCCTGTAACTAACAGAGTGAGGGCTACATAAGAGACACTCAACAAATATTTGTTGATTGAGTCAATACATGAATGAAGGCTGTATATATATCATTGTCTTTTAAAAATCAAATAACTAGCTAATTTTTGGTGGTTTTTCTATCTTCGCAGTAAATTATAAGTTGCTCTAGAGGCAATCATTCAATTTCGGAACATAAGCATAATGTCCCGTGGTACTTAAATACAGCTTAGTTCACTGGTATAAAAATCCTAAAATTCAGAATTAAAAATCAAGGAAATGAAGGAATAGTTGGTGATGGAACTACCAAAACAGCCAAGTAAATATAATCCTAGAATAGGAAATAATTAGCAGAAATACACTAAATATATATATACATAATATAGATTTCCATTATTATCCATCAATGAGAAGCACAATTGACTAGTATGACATCAAATTAAGAATTTGTGAATGTCTGGTGGACTTTAGTTTATGGCAGGCATGTACTAAAGGGATAGATTTAATAACAATGTCATTTTTTGCTACCATCATGACAAAGGATCTTAAACTCCTGATATATCTATCTACATCCATAGCACTTAATCGATCATCTTGGAATCAAATATTTAATATATGCCTACCTTGGTTATGTTAGATGCTGATGACACAAACTAAAGTTTTGCCTATCCTTTTAATTTATTCTGAAGTCCAACCAAATGTATAGTTCAACAAATATTTGAGTTTAATTTTATTTTTTCAATTCAATTGTTTCTTGCTTTCATTTGCTCTCTTTAGAAATTCCTAAAATACTGTTATGAATGTCTAATATTCTAATATATAAAAACTGAGCAACAACTATTATTAATTAATAATAATGATAATAGCTAACCTTTACTGAGTACTTACTACTTTCAGGCACAACTATCTCATTTAATTCTCACAACAAATCCATGAGGAAAATACTATTATTACTCCCATATTACAGAGGAAGAAACCAAAGCACAGAGAAGAATTAAGTTCACATAGCCAGTAACAGGAAAAGCCTGAACTAAACACATATGTTCTGACCCTAGAGTTCATGCTCTTAACCATGATACTAACGTAGTTTATATTTCTGCTATGTAAGTTTCACATAAAATGGATAAATTGCCTTCTGAAAATAAGATACTGAGAAACAAAACCATTAGAGCTATGTATCATTAGAACTCCAGAGAATGAGGCAAGATAGCTGGTTCTTAGTTTCTCTGAAGGGAGGTGTTCTTGCTCTCAGAAAGCTTGCAACCCAACTGGGGAATCAGAATATATTCTAAGGAAAACAATATACTGTGATATACAAAGGACTTGCTATGAAAGATAAGAGGTGGCAGTAATTTCTAAGGACTAGGCCATCATAAAATGCTTGATGGAAGAGACAGGCCTTAAAGGAGGGATTATTCTGATAGGAGGAAGAAAAGAATTAGGGTGTTATAAGTAAGGAGAAGCATTTGAACACAATTATTGATGAAATACTGTTACCAAAACACCAGGAGTTCCATCTGCTGCTTGCCACCCAAAAAGCCAATCACTGAGACAATGATTATTGTCAAAGAAGAAGGCTTTAATCAGATGCTGCAGCCAAGGAAATGGGACATCAGTGTCAAATTTGTCTCCCTCACTGACTAAAATTAGGGGTTTATATAACAGGGAAGAAATATTAACTACGTATGAGAAAACAGGAACTAAGGAGGGGTAAGGAAGCAATAATGAAGAATGAGGGGTCTGGCATCTCATTGTCTAGATGCAGTAATCTGGTGAGTTTCAGCTCTTTGATACTTGTTAAGAGGTCTGGGCGTCCTTTCTTGAGGACGGAACTCAAATAAAGATCAACCAAATGTGGCTGGGCGCAGTGGCGCATGCCTGTAATCTCAGCACTTTGGGAGGCTGAGGCAGGCAGATTGCTTGAGCTCAGGAGTTCCAGACCAGCCTGGCCAACATGGTGAAACTCCATCGCCACAAAAAAAATACAAACATTAGCCAGGCATAGTGGCATGCAACTGTGGTCCCAACTACTTGGGAAGCTGAGGTGGGCAGATGGCTTGAGCCTAGGAGGTAGAGCCTGCAGTAAGCTGAGATCGTGCCACTGCACTCCAGACTGGACACCAGGGCAAGACCCTGTCTCAAACAAGCAAACAAAAAGATAAAATAAACGCAAGTTTCAAGTTTTCAGACAAGAAGTGTCCATTTCTATGTTTATTAATTAAAAAAACCCAATAAACAAAACTAAACAAACAAAACCCTGCCTATGGGACTATTGGGTTGGTTTCAGTACCATGAAAAGATCCAATTGTTTAAATGTTTAATGTATGGCGATAAAAGGGGAGGCTGGAAAAGTAAGGATCATATTGAAGAGGTAACTTGAATGCCAGGTTAAGGAGTTAGGACTTTATTCTCTAGATCTGCCCTGCTTGATACAGTAGCCACTAGTCACATGTGGCTACTGAGCATTTGAAATGTGGCTAGTTCAAATTGAGGTGTGTTCAGGCACAATACATACCAGCTTTTGAAGACTTCATAGGAGGAAAGAACGTAAAGTATCGCCTTAATAATTCTTAGGTTAATTAATTTTGAAATAATATTCTGGGTATACTGCATTAAATAAAATATATTGTTAAAATTAATTTCACCTGTTTCTTATGTGCCTAATGTGGATACTAAAAAATTTAAAATTACATAGGTAGCCTGCATTTATGGCATACATTCTATTTCTATTGGAAAGTACTGTTCTAGAAAATCAAAAATGAAGGAAGCTTAATGATCAGAAATTTATGTAAAAATTGTTTTAAGAAGTTTATTTTGGTACAAGCAGACAGAGTGTAACTGTTCTCAGTCAGTAAGCCAATGGCAAGAAAAGAAAAAAACAAGGTTGTAGTGAAGAAATGGGACTCCTTTAATTTAAAATTTAAAAGATATTTAAGAGACAGAGCAGCTAAATGGAAAGTGTACATTTTGTCTGATTCCGAGTCAAGCAAACCAACCAGAAAAAGACATTTTCAATTAACCATGAAAATGTAAATAAGGTCTAGATATTATGTGACAGTCCAATAATGACATTATGGAGATAGAAGAAAAAGTTGGTACATTTTAGGAATGCAAACTAAAGTATGTAGAGATGAAATGAGAAAATACTTGGGATTGCTGGGAAAAAAACTATTTCTTACTTTCCAAACCCCAATAAATAAATGAGGTAACATAATAACCTAATACAGTAGTAAATCAAAATAAAATGCTTTTGCTGTAAAAAACAAAAAACCTGGAGTACCAGAGCATTATCTACCTATACAAGGAAGAACCAACAGTGGACAGAGGGGAGTTTGAGGGCTAGAGATGTTCAAGTCGGCATCATTCTGACAGTGCTGTTTAGGAAAGCATTCACGACACTACTTAATTCCATTGCTTTAGGTATTTCCATAAGGCCACACAAGAAAGTATGATGGAGCCAGGACTAAAACCAGATGCTCTTTGTATCTGCCTTTAAACTTCACAAAATCCTGTGAAGAACCTAATCTATACTTTCATCTTTAGATTTTTAAACTTGCTTGTTTCATTCAGTTATTCTTTATAGTTCATAACATCATTAAATAACTGATCATATTAGATTATTTTATTTATTCTGCTTAAGTTTATCTTGACTGCTTCTCAAATTCAGATTGGTAGAAGAAGGATAAAAAAGAAGGAAAGCAAAATCTAAACAGTAACAACAAAACCATTTAAACATCTCCCAAGTGAAATTTATGTCATGCTGGCCAAAAATAAGATGTAGTTTTCATCGTCAGGTACAATGCTGGGAAGAGGTGTTAATGTAAAGCAAGCAGCACAAAGAAGTAATAAAAGGAAACACAGGAATCAGAAAGGGAGAAGAAAGAGAGGAGAGAAAAACACCACCAACACCACCAACAGCAACAACAGCAAACCCCAACAGTGCCCATATGCAATGCCCCCTAACTGCTTCGAAGAAGAGCAGTTCATTCTGTTTTCTGTAAGCTTGAAAGAGAGCATAGCTGCCCTGGGAATGTGTAGACTTGCTGAGTCCTTGTTCTGCTGCTACCCAACTGGCTGTTTGGCCTTGATCCTTGATTTCTTTCCTCATCTATAATAAAGTGGGAATAACAGCACCTGCCTTACTTGTCTCACTGGGTTGAAATGAAAGCAAAGTGAAATGGCAAATGTGAAAGAATTTTGGAACGTTTTCATGTTGTAAGTTGGTTGCTAAGGTCTAAAAGAAATATTAATAATTACGTTGAATATCTTCTGCAGAAAAAAAATTAAACCGACCCCATCCCCCGCAAATCTAGCCCTACCTGGCATAGGTTTTAGTTCTTTTAATTTTCGAATGAGAACATTGTAAAGGAACTGTAGGGACGAGAGTAGCATCAGGTCTCCCCATCCTTCTCATATCCTTGCCCCCGCACCCCTCTCTCACCCCAGAGTTCAAGCACCAACAGAAAAGATTGAGAGTAGCTCAGGGTACGGTAAACGAAGGAAGCTTTGAAGAAGGCGGGGAAAGCCTGGGATGGCGAGGGGGTGCTCGCTGAGGAGGAGGATAGAAACTACAGTTGCGGGGCCGGGACAAGAGAGACTTAGAACGAAGCCAAAGGCGCCTTTCTTCACAGTTCGGGAACTTACTGGTAGTACACGCCACTCCATAGAAGCCGTGACTGGTTACCATAGCGACCGCGTCGGGGTGGGCGGAGCGTCGCTTCTCAGCGGCGCCACCGCCACAACTGCTCGACCAGAAACGCGGACACGTCGGCGCAGTGACTTCCGGCGGAAGAAGAAGCCGGTCCCAAGTTCTGGCCGACAGTAGGCAAGGAGTGGGCGGCAGCGCATATGTGAAGTTAGGTAGGTCTGATGTCCTATAAAGCGCGGAGAGGGTGCCCGCCAATAGCTGGGTGGGTAAAGCCGACTGTGAATGGAGAAGATTCCCGAGTCCCCGGCTGTTTCGTTAAGTGTATATAGCTGTGTGGAAGAGGTTGCCTGATTTCTGGGGCTCCTGGTAGGGTCTCTCTTCTGGAGCGTGGAAGACTGGCGCATCCTCGCGTAGAGAGTTTCACTCTGTCTTTGCGAGGTCTCAGCGCCTCTCCAATAACAGGGGACTCTTGTTCTCTACCTGCTGGTGCTGACGTTATTTCGCGTATCATGCTCTCTAGGCAATCTGGAGGAAAAGCAAACGAGAAACATTCAGAAGGAATGCCCCCAAATTTATTTTAATTCTTTGGTGTTCTGTTTTGCTTTGTTTTTTATTCGTTCATTTTGTAAATATTCATTAAGCTCCTCCAGCGTGTTTAGTGAGTGCTTACTTGTGTGCCAGTTTTTTCATAAGATTAGCAGAAATACCTTCTTAAAGTTTCATACACCACCCAGTTCATTATAAAATTCTTTTTTTAAATGCTGTTGTATATTTATTAATTAAGGTATAAACATATATCGTGAAACACCTAACACATTTTCCATACTTGTCGGTACACTTGTACGTGGAATTCTTGGGGCATTTTAAATAAAAATATATGCTTTCTCAGGTTTGCATTATAATCATGATTTACTCGACTAAATATTAAAGAACTTACAAAAGTAGTACTTACTTTTTTCTTAGATACATGGCAAACCGTAATGAATTGTCATTAATATTTCTATTCAGCTAATCTGAGAAGGCCCACTTCTGGTTCCATGGATGATGGCTGCTGCGCAGATGCCCAAAAAGGATTGGTACAGCATCCTAGGGGCAGACCCATCTGCAAATATGTCAGACCTAAAAGAAAAATATCAAAAACTTATATTAATGGTGAGTCTTTTCTTTCAGATTTTAAATCATGAGGGGAAAAAAATTAATTTTTATATGAAAGCACAAATTTAGGTTTCCAAAAAATAGGATACCAGTGGCAGGAATCCAGGTATTAATTTGATTTAATTGAACGTTTCAGTAATATTGCAGAAAAACTTAATTTGAGGTGGGAAAGCCTGGTTAGGAGCAGGAGATCTGAGTCAGGCTGCTTGAGTTAGAATCTTGAGTCCATCTCTATCTGAGAATTTGGACAAGTTACTTTTTCTTATATGTGCCAAGGGAGGATTAAATGAAATAATCCATGTAAAATATTTATAAGTGTTGTTACATAATAAGCAAAAGTAGCCACTAGCCACACGTGGCTGTTGAGCACTTGAAATGTGGCTAGCCTGACTTGAGATGGACTGTAACGGTAAAATTTACATTGGATTTTAAAGACAGTATTTTAAAAGAGTTAAAATAATTTAACAAATTTTATGTTGATTATGTTGATTAAAGTTCACTGGTTTTATTTTTCCTCTACGGTGTCCATCTGCTGATAAACTTCTTAAAAGAATTCTTGATCTCTTATCTAGTTTTCATATCTACCATTTCTACTGGCTCTTTTTTTAAAGTTTCCATCTCTTTCTCATCTTTTTATACATGTTGTCCACTGTTTCTACTATATCCTTTAATAAACTTATCACAGTTAAAGTCCCTGTCTGATAATTCTTTGTAGTTAATCGAACAGTTTTTATGTGGATTATATGTTGAAATGATAATATTTTGGATTACTGGCTATTTTGTGTTTTATATGCATAATATGCATGCATGTATTTGCACATATCCAAGTTTGTTTCTCTTGCATTTTACTTTTTTAACATTACATATGTAGCCTGCATTTATACTTACATTATATTTCTATTGGGTAATGCTGATTTAGACCATTTATACACTAATTATCAGTTGACTTTTCATTGTTGTTGTTGTTGCCCAGGCTGGGGTGCAATGGCACGATCTCAGCTCACTGTAACCTCCGCCTCCCAGGTTCAAACGATTCTCCTGTCTCAGCCTCCCAAGTAGCTGGGATTAAGGTGCATGCCACCACGCCTGGCTAATTTTTGTATTTTTAGTAGAGACAGGGTTTCATCATATTGGTCAGGCTGGTCTCAAACACCTGACCTCGAGTGATCCTCCTGCCTCGGCCTCCCAAAGTCGTGGGATTAAAGGCATGAGCCACCACGCCCGGCTGACTCTTTTTTTAAAAAATGAATTGTAGTGTTTGTAAATATATTTTTCTGAACTTTTATATTCATTTTTTCAGTCTGTATTGTGATGCTTCTTAAGGCATTGTCTGTAATTCTATACTGAAGTCCAGTTAACTCAGTTTATAAAGAGTAAAGAACCATTATTTATATAGAATTTGTTGTCTCTTCAGTTTAGACCAGTTACATCAATGTTGTTTTGCCAAAACTGTTAATGTTCATTGTAAGAGACAGTAGCTGTTTTTCATCATTAGGATTGTACTAATATTCTTACTTTAGGAAGTATGTCGGACTAAATGACCTTAAGGTACCTTTTGCCTCAGAATTTTTAAAATTTCTGTCAGCAGAATCAAGTAGACTTTATTGAAAAATATCCTAATATTAAACCATCCTTGTGCCTCACTCAGTTAATTGGGAGATGAGGCTGGAAAAGTAGACTGGATCATGCTGGTTCTTGTAGGCCATATTGGCCTTTAATTGGCCAATGAGAAGCAGTCTGCACATAATATGTAGTATCTGTCAAACAGCAAAGTGGATAAACCATTTTACGTATGCGCTGACAATGTGTCGGAGAGTTCTGGTTGCTCTTCATCTTTGCCAATATTTGATGTTATTGGTCTCTTTCATTTTGGCTGTTGGAGTTTTCGCAATTTTGCCACCATCGACATTTGGGCAGGATAATTCTTTGTTATTCGGCTGTTCTGTGCTTTGTAAGATGTGTGGCAGGATCCTAGATGTCAGTAACAACTAAAAATGCTGCCTGCCTATCAAAATTGCCACATCCCATGAGAATCACTGGACTACTCTACGGTGTCTGTAGTCATACCCCATTGTGGGGTTGTTACCTTTTAAAAATTTCTCTGATGACTAATGATGTTGAGCCCTTTTTAATGTGATAATTGGTCATTTGTATAATTTTCTTTTATGAAGTGTTTTTTTTTTAATTAAATATATTCTTGATTCTGTATATATGTGGTATATATTTTCTCCTAGTCTGTGATTTACCAGGTCATTTTCTTCATGGCATCTTTTTGATGCAGAGTTTTTTGTTTTGACAAAATATAATTTATCAAATGTGTGTTTTTATAGTTAATACTTCCCATCTTCTCTAAGGTTATGAGAATATTCTTCGATGTTTTCTTCTAGAAGTGGTCATTTGCTTTTACCTTTAGACTTATTTCTGTGTATGGCGTAAGATGTGAGGTCATGCTTTTATTTTTCCTCAGTATAGATATTCAGTTGTTCCAGCATCATTTGTTGAAAACTTTTTTCTCCATTGGACTATCTTGGCAGTATGAGTCTATTACTGGACTCAATTCTGTTTTATATGTTTATCCATTTACTAATACCTCCATCTTGATTACTGTAGATTTATAGTCAGTCTCAAAGTCATTGTAAAATTAGTTCTCTAATACTCTCCTTTTCAAGTTTATTTTGGTTATTCTAGTTTGCTTATATTTTCACAGAAATTTTAGAATCAGCTTGTGTCTTCCAAAAAAATCTTGCTTGAGTTTTAAACTGGGATTGCAGTAATATATATCCACTTTGGTAGAATGGGCATCTTAATAATATTGAGTCTTTGAATCCATACTTAAGCTATCTTTCATTTCTCTCATCAGTATTTTATAATTTTCAGTGTAGAGGTCTTACATATCTTTTTTTGAATTTCTAGTTATTTGTTTTTGGTTCCATTGTAAATGGTATTTTAAAAAATATTTCATTTTTCAGTTGTCGATTGATAGTATATAAAATTAGAGCTTATTTTTATATACTGGTCTTTTATCTGACAATCTAAGTAAATTTGCTTTTTAATTTTAGTAGCTATTTTTGTCAATTTCTTAGAATTTTCTGCCAACATAATTATGTCATTTGCAAATAATGAGAGTTTTAATTCCATCTTAACAATCTGTATGTCTTTTGTTTCCCTTTCTTGCTTTAATGCACTAGCTGGTTGCTTCTATTAAATGTTGCTTCTATTAAAATGTTGCTTCTATTAAAATGCTTCTATTGAAGTGTTAAGAGCAGATATCCTTGCCTTGTTCCTGATTTTAGGAGGAAAACCTTCAATATTTTACCAGTAAGTATACTGTTAACTGTCTGTTTTTAAAAATGCCCTTTATCAGCTTGGGGAAATTCTTCCAATTAATACTTTGCTAAGAGTTTTTATGATAAGTAGGTATTTAAATTTGTTAGATTTTTTTTTTGCATTTATTGAATTTTGCATTTATTGATCATTTATTGATTTTTCTCATTTAGTTTGTTAATGTGGTGAATCACGTAGATTTTTCTTAAGCCCACTTCTCATTCCTAGGATGAACAAACTTCACTTATCATGAAGCATTATTATATTTATACATGGAGGGATTCTAGTTGCTATTATTTTGTCATGGATTTTTATGTTTAATTTCATGCTATATATTTGTCTGTAATTTTCTTTTCTCATAATGTTTATGTCTAAATTTATTATCATGGTTATGCTAGCCTCATAAAATGAATTGTGATTTCTGGCTTTATAGTGAGGAAGAGAGGTGGAGGTCTAACCAGTTTTTCAGTCTTAACCAGTCTTTCTCTTGTTTAATTTTGCCCCTCAACTCCACTCTCAAAGGTACTTGATGCCTTCCATTCCTCAATTTCTCCTGCCTCTGTGTGAATGAACTCACTTCTTTTTCTCTTTCACTTTAGACTTAGGTTTCAGTTTTTGCAGGTACACTGAATTTGTTATTTATTGATTAATTTTACATCTCTCCACATTTTGGTATCTTTCGCCTGTTTTTTTCCCTTCTCTCCTGTTCTTTCACCTGTTTTTTCTCTTCTCTCCTTTTTGTTCATACACATTTATGCCTTTTTTAAAAAAAAAAAAAATTATTCCTTTGCTGTTACTATCAAGGAATTTTCAGTGGGAGGAAAGTGTGAGCCAGTTGCTGTGGCTCACACTTGTAATCCTAGCTACTCGTGGGGCTGAAGCAGGAGGACTGCTTGAGCCCAGGAGTTCAAGGCTGCAGTGAGATATGATTGTGTCACTGCACTCCAGCCTGGGCGACAGAGCAAGACCCTATGTCTTATTAATTTGCCATTTAGTGGAAGCTCTGAACCATTTTCTTTTCCCTTTAGAGGCCAGATACCCGTCTGTGGCAATATGCCTTTGCATTTGCACTCTGCCCATTCACTGCCTCACCTGATTCTCACTCATTGTTTCAAAATGATCTTAGTTGTAATTGTGCCTCCACAGCTCTCTACCATGTCCGTAGTACATTTCATGGTATTTCTCTAGGACAGGGGACGTGTAGCTCTTAGATAAGGAGAATGAGGGTAGGTGGACTGTAATAAAAGGCTGAAATTTTTTCCACTGCTTTTCTTTTAGAAGATGAGAAAGACTTGAACATGTTTACACTGTATGGGAAGTAGCCACGGAAAAGCTTGGGATTGAAGTTACAGGAGAGTTTGAATAATTAACAAAAGCAGAAAGGGATGGGATCTCAATCATAGGTAGAAGCATTAGCTTTAGGTAAGAGACAGGACGGACCTGTCTTCATTGTTACAGGAAGGAAGGAAGGAATAGGCGGTTACAGGAAGGAAGGAAGGAATGGTTGCAATAGGCAGTTTGTTTGTAGGTTTGGTAGCAGAAAGTTGAGCTCTCATTTGGTACCTTCTTTTTATTCTCTGTGAAGTAGAAGACAAAGTTGTCTGTTGAGAAGGGCGAGAGATGAAGTGAAGCAGCAAATTACAAGAGAGAGAATTGCAACTAGCATTATTCGG